GATGAGGATATTAGTCCAGCTGTAAATAATGCAAATAATGCATAATTCTACATCTTTAAAATCCAGACACAGTGTCTATTTCTTTCAATTTGGGCCATACAAAGTTCAACATAGGAAATATCATTTCAGATTTCATTATAGAATGACTTCTCTATACACACTGCTATATTTCATGAGGCATAGCATGTCAGGAAATTCTACATTAAATAAAAGAACTTTCCACTGACTCTAATCAGAATCATTTATGACAGACATATATAGAGAGAGAGGTTAGGACCCCATTCACACACTTGGGATTAAAATGAATACATTTTTTTCGAGTAGACTAGTCAACATTAGCGTCTATTCTAACGTAATTTCAATGAATAAATAAATTGAATCACATATGTATTTTTTCTTTTCTCCTCAGTAATTTTATAATTTTAAACTTAATAGAGATTAAATTTAGATTTTAAAATGGGTAATTTTTTACTTTTAATTTTAATATCAAATTTTATCATATAATTTAATACTTATTGGTTAGAATAATTTTTTTTTTAATATAACCCCAATTTTAAAACTCTGAATAGCTATTATAACCTTACTTCATTGTCAAGTTTTTTTTAATTTTCCTGTACTTGTGTTTTGATAGGTCATTCTAGCTTTTGTAACAACGTTTTCCCCTTGTGAAGGATCATTAATTAATTTGAAACTTTTAAAACCATTTATTTTACATTCAACATGATCACTTGATAAGACACCAGAGGTGTTGAAAGAAAATGGCTATTTTTGTAGTGATTTTATAACGTATTTATGTTATAATTTTTAAATGAATGATTATATATATATATATATATATATATATATATATATATATATATATGCTGTAGTCAGTACTTTTTCATGCAAAACACAAATCTCTCTTCAGTATAAAATAAAAACTGCATATGTGTCTTCTCGCATTTCAGATCTTTCTTGTGTCTAAATTCTTCTATTGTAACTTGTGAAACATCTTGGCCTGTGCACTTGATATATACTACTCAAAGTTTGTGTGTGCCTGCTCTAAAAATGAATTAAACATATATAATTTTCCTTGTCTGCCAGTGTGTATATGTGCAAATCTATATCTATAATTCTCAAAATGTGTGTGTGTGTGTGTGTGTGTGTTTGATTGGATGTTGTTTATGTGTTTCCAGAGTTTTCATCCAATTTCGATGAAATCTTTTTGTTTGATAGATAATTCTTCAGTGCCGGCTTTAAGTCCAAATTGGCTGGAAAAAAATACAACCTTGAAGGTGAAAAATAAAAAAAACTGATTTTTTTTATACTTTGCACAAAATTCAAAGGCAAAATTTAATGTCTGTAAAAACAGCATACAATCAATTTAGAGAGTTGAAATCTAATGCAAAAGATTATTAGAATCATAAAAAAAAATTTTATTATAAATAAAAAGTATTGTATATTATTATTATGATGCTCCATGGAAGAGGTTTCTTCCTTGCAAGATTGAGAATGCACAAATGGCCCTTTTCAGAGCCGCATTCAAATTGTTAACCCCCTATTTGGGGATGTGCCTAAGTTGCACCCAATTGTTGTTACTAATATTGATTTTCAGGTGGGCTGAATTTAAACCTGAACTGCTCCAACTGAATGGCAAATATTCCCAGTAATGAAACACCCAGTCAAAGATGGGTTATGCTGCTAGTATTACATAAATTATAATATTGATTAACTGTGTCAGTCTCTTTTTATCTAGCAGAATGTGTCTTATATCTTACCCTACCGTGAAGGCTTTGCTAAAGGGAAATAATTAATTTGCTTATCCCATTATAACTGTGCTTTTCCCTCCATTTGTTAATACACACAACCTTTATGTCCTGCCAATATCTCATAAATAATATTCTGCCATCCATTTACACAAGCTTGTTAAGTAGGCCATACTGTTTCCCCTCTACCCCTCTTGCCTTCTCTATGACCTGTGAGTGACAAATTCTCTAAGCTTTCTTTCCTTGTTATGTGTGTCTGAAATTTCAACTATCTCTTTTTGATTCTAAGTACCAGTGTCATTTTTGTTTCCATTTTCCTTAAAAGCTCCTTCTCGGTAACATTTTTCATCTGTGCTATTCTCAGCATCCTTCTGTAGAACCAAAGCTTTGTTGCCCCTGGTCTCCACTCTGTGAGGAAATTTTTCAGCATTCACTGCTGTAAGGGCACACATTAATAATGCCAAAATCAAACAGTTACAGAAATTTAACTAATTGGTGAGTGTTTTAACAGTCAACAAAAAATGTGATATAGAAATCCTAAGATTCATTGAAATAATGTAAGATGTCTTCCAAAAGATAAACCTTCTATATCAGGGGTGGGGAAATTTTTTTTCAGAAGGCTATATGTGTTTTTTGGTAGATTCATTATTGGCTACAGGTATTGATTGATTCTTTTTTTTTTTTGGTTTATCAACCTTTTGTTGGTTATTTAAAGCCAAAACATATTTTGAATTGTAAGAATAATTTTTTTCCAACTGAATATTGCATTAATAATTTTTTGAGAATAACAATGCTTTTTCCAAATACAGTTCTGACAATTTAACCCATAGCTGAGTTCCAAAATTAAAATAATCTCTTTATATGCTATTGACTTCACTTGCTTTTTTCCTCTAGGACTTGGGACAACATTTTATGCAACATATTAGGATTTATATGATTTACTCAACAAACTTTCACAAGCTAACTTTAGATATTTGTATCATCTTGATATATTTTTTGTCGGACTCCCAAAAAAGCAAAACTCTTTATAGACGCAGAGCTAAATCAAAGTGTTTGCAGAACTGTCAAGTTTCCAATGATGTCTTGCAGAAAAGTTTGGGAGTAAGAATTTTAAGCTTATTTTGCCAGCATGATACCAGCCGTTTCTCATTTGGTGTTTTTTAATGTTACTAGTGGAAGCGGTGTTCCTGATAGGAATGTTTCTGGCTAAAACCAACAAATGAAACAGTTATCATTTATTTTTTTTAATATTTTTTTCTTGCTGTTTTTTTGTTCTTGTTTATTTTATCTTTGACTGTTGGTACAGTGAATACAAGACTGTGTTTAAACAATAGCCTTACTTGTCCCTCTGTTTTACTCAAAACTAACATGCAAGTGAGATAACAAAATTAACAGGTGATAAAAAAGGGTTTCATTATTTTGCTCTGAGGAGTCATTTTTGCTGGGTTAGTGAGTGGGGTGTAGATTATTTCATGTTATATTAAGGACTTGTATCAATTATGTCTTTCAGCCTTTTTCTTTTGAAAAAAAGTGACTGATGAATTGCTATATAATATCAGTCCTCTTTATACATCGTACAATAGGTAAATTGCCATTTTATATTTTTAATTTCCCTTATGCACATTGTTTTTAATTTTATTGACTGCACTATATAGTAGGATCAGTTGAGCTAAGTCTCTGAGAAAAAGTGCACCATGACGCAAATCACTCTGCCAGAAATTTGGAAACAGCATGCTGTATTGCTTGGCATTCACGCTGGAAACTCCAATATAAACATTTTAGAGGGTTTGTGTGTCAATCTGAGGACAGTGCAGAGGATTCAGAAAAAATTGGATGAGTCTAATAGTGATTATGAAGGTACAACAGTTCAGAAAACTGAGTGTGATTGTTTTGACAAGAAAAAACTCCAAAATTTGTTAGTGGGGCCTCAGACTCAACATGGACGTCTACATCAAGTGCTTTGAGGAGGTAGTGCTGCCTTGAGTCAAGAGGATGGCTGCTGGAAGACCCTATATTTGGCAACAGGACTCTGTACCATGCCATACAAGCAGGAGAAGCCAGTAATGGCAGTTAGACAATTTCTGCAGCCACATCACTCCTTATGTCTGGCCACCTAACTCCCCAGACTGCAACCCCCTTGATTATTATGTGTGGGATGCAGTTAAGTGAGAGATCAACAAAACTTCTTATAACATCAAAGATAAATTGAAAGCAAGGATTATAGTAGCATTCACCAACTTAAACAAGGAGTCTGCCTATAAGAGTTGCAGGAGATTCTGAATTTGTCTGGAGGCAGTGGTTGAAGCCAATGATGATTTTATTGAATAAATTTACTCTTTAGTATTTCAAGATATTTTTGTGTAATTTTGCTAAATATATCTGTTAAAATGAGATGTCAGTGTTCTTTTCATTTTTACGTAATTTAGAGGATAATTTTTCCCTCACACCCTGTATGGTAGTGAATGCTGAATAGTTTGATGTAGAGATTTGAAGCAGCAAAGATCTGATTCTACAGAAGGATGCTGTGAATGCCATGAATAGCAATAAACAATGAGGAAGTTATAAGGAAAATGGAAACAAAAAGGATGCTTATACTTCAAATCAGTTTAAATTTCTGCAACACATAATGAGAAAAGAAGACTTGGAGAATTTGACCCCAATAAAGTATATTGAAGACAAGGACAAAGTGAAACAGCAAGTAACCTGCCTAATAAGTTTATGTAAATGGATAGCAGAGCATGGATTAGTAGGGATATGCCGGGGACAAATATTACTTAGAGGCACAACGAATAGGAAGTTGAAGAGAGATATGATCAGCCATGATATGAAAGGATATAACAATTTGGTAGGACTTACATCTACAAAAATTATCAGGATTTTGGAATTTGTTTTGAGATAAAAGGTAAACAGGAAAGATTTCTAACAAGAATTTTCTTATAAATACCAATTTAAGAACCTTCACTGATTATAATTTTCTTGACACAGATGCACTGTATGTTCTTGGAGGAGAGCAGATGAAGAAGCGTAATATTGCCAAAAGAAATTGACCAGTTAAGAAAATCTCTAGAATGGTCAGGCTCTACTTTTCAGTGCTGCAAACTTAAATTTCCCAGTTTCTATGTTATCTGCTTTTTGATTGTGTTCTTTATGGTCTGTAATAAACAGTGCTGGGACATGAAGACTCTCCAAGATAAAAATGCCATATATGAAGACTTTTCGATACTTTCAAGAATTTTCTGTTGTTGAAATCAATTAATGGATTTGGAAGAATTTGCTTCAACTTTCTCCTTTTCTACTTTGTTTCCTTTTCTCTTTCTCCTTATCTTTTTTTGCTTTCTTTTCTCATTTTTCTTTTATTTAACTTCTTTTTTTTTTAACTTCCTCATTTCTTCTGTTTTTTTTTCTCTTTCTACTTTACTTTTTTTTTCTTTCTTTTCTTGTTTTTCTTTTCTTTAACTTCTTCCTTTCTTTTTTTAATTTACTCCTTTCTTAAATTTCTCCTTTTCTGCTATTTCTTTTCTCGTTCTACTTATCTTTTTTTGCTTTCTTTTCTGTTTTTTCTTTTACATCTTTTCACCCCATGTTTTCTGTCATTTCTTTTTCTCTTCTTGTTTGTTATTTTGTTTTCTACCTTTACTTTTTTTTCTTTCCTCCTTCTTTTGTTTTATTTAAAAATTCTTTTTCTTTCTTCTTTTTAAAGATGTCTTTTTTCTTTGGGCTTTATAAGCATTCCTTTGGGGTTTTTTTTTTTTAAATACTTTAGAAAATTTACTTGTTTTTTTAATCATTTAATGCATTCTTTTTTACTTTATTTTTTCTTCTTTTTTTCATTTCATTTTTATTCTCTCATATATATTTTTTCTTTTTGTCAACATTTTTCATAATTTTCTTTGCTTTGTCTCAAATGCTTTCTCCTGACATTTTTGATTTGTTTTTAACTTAATTCTCTTCTTTGCTTTCTTTTATATTTCCCTTTGCTTTCATCTCCCTCCTTTTTTCATAGCCAATTCATTCCCTGTAATTTTTCATTCTTTCTCCTTCCACCTATTTACTTTATTTTTTCCTTTACTCTATTATGCTTCTCTTCTTTTTTCAATTCATTCCTCTTTTTCTTTCTCCTCCTCCTCCTCTCTTTGTTCTCATCTTCTTTTTTTTCCTTCTCATGTTTCCATCCTTTCTTCATCTCTTCCCACATTTCTTTTTCATATTTCCACTCTTCCTTTTCCGCCCTTTCTTCCTTTTTCTCTTTCTTCTCTTCCTTCTTGTCTTTTTCACTCTTTCTCTTCCCTCTCACTTTTCTGCTCTTTCCTCTTTTTTTTTTTTTCCTTTTTCCACTCTTTTGTTTCCCTCTCATCTTTTCACTCTTTCTTCTTTCCTCTGCTTCCTCATCTCTCACTGTGACAGTCACAATGAGCAAGCATTATGGCCAACTCATGCGATAATAGTCTTTTAATGGTTGCATGTGAAAATGTTGCTTCAATGTTTTAGGTTAGAGCAAAATGTGTATGCTTCAGCCATAAACACATTCAGTCCAGTTTATGGAGCCTTCATCACTAAAACTCAGGAAAGAAATAAAATGACACTCGTTGACTAAACGGATTGAAGTGTAATGGCTGGTTGAAGCCCTGACCACCATGATTGGTTTGTTTTATTAAGTAGAGAAGCATTGGTTGCTTATGTTTAGACAGCAGGGTCGGCTTTATTGTATACTAGCTGTTTCCTATGAATCCCACGCTCCACCCAGCAACTGCACCTCTGCTATTAGTGTACTGTGTTCCACCTGCCATAACAATGCCTGTGTTTTTTCTTCTTTTATATATATATATATATATATATATATATATATATGTATGTATGTATGTATGTATGTATGTATATATATATATATATATTTTCATTTTATTATTTGTTTTTTAGAAGGGAATATCATTGACTTATAATTGTCAAATTTTAACCAGTTGTTCAGAATAAACAGTTTTTGATATTGTTGTGGTATTCTTGAGACAATAGTTGCCATTATTGTTAAGTACAAGTAATCATTTTTATATAATATACTCTTGTTATATGAAAGAAATTCCTTATATAAAAGACTCAAACATTAATATTCGATGGTTATAATTTATTACATTGGAATCGTAATCATGATCCAATTCATCAGACCTACAAATTCAAAAAGAAATCGGAAAATATAACTCTGGATATAAAAAACAAAATATATATATACATACACTACAGTTCAGAGTTTGAAGCCATCCCCAGAATTAGCATCAGACGAACTTGACAGAAGAGAGAAAAAAAAAAAAATGTAAAAGAATTGTTAGTCATTGAAAAAAAGAATTAAATCAATTGTCAAACTTATACTTTGAGAAAATTTTGAGAATCAAACAATATTAAAAAGTAAAAATAACAGAATTTCATTTTTTTTCTCCATATTTTATTTTCTGGTGAAGCTTTAATAAGAGTGAAACATGTTATATTGATCACTGTTTTCTATTTGTTCATTATTACACACACACACACACACATATATATTCTCATTTCATTGAATATGACAGACAAAGTGATTTTATTTAGTTTTTTATACAATTTCTCATGCAATCTAATAATTTTTTTTTTTTCTTTTCGGATGATAAATTATATAAAATCTGTTTGAATGTTCTTTTTATTTGAGCACTTTCAGCTATACATTTAGCCATTTTCAAGGATTGAATATTTTAACTGTTAAATAAGAAATCAAAATTTGTAAATAATTATATAGGCCACACTACAACATGTTTGACACGCAGACTCACTCTACACCTTTCTGACCATAGCTCGATTAGATCTCATTTAAATATTCATGGAGACCTATCGGACACTATTCGTAACATACTTGTTGACAACACTAATATAATAGCATCATTTACATGCAAAAAAAGGCTAAAAATAATGGAAGCCTTATTAATAAAAACAAAAAACCAATATTAACTTTGAACATGGACACAATATCTTGACCATGTTTTGAAAAATGAAAACATTTTATAAAACATACATACATATTTCTATTAAAATATTTAATCCTTGAAAATGGCTAAATGTATAGCCAAAAGCTCTTGGATAAAAAGAACATTCAGATAGTTTTTATATAATTTATCATCCGAAAAGAAAAAATTATTAGATCACTGAAGAAAATGTATAAAAAACTCAATAAAAGCACCTTGTCTGTTGTTTTCAATGAAATGTGTATGAAATAAGGATTGCTGCCTAAATATACAAATATATATATATATATATATATATATATATACACACACTCACACACACACACTACAGATCAAAATTTTGAAGTCACCCCAGAATTAGCATGGGATGAACTTGACAGAAGAGTAAAAAAAAAAAAAATGAAAAAGAACTCTTAGAGTCATTTAAAAAAGAATGAAATCAATTATCAAACTTATGCTTTGAGAAGGTTTTGCAATGAATGCCAAAAAATTGTGCTGCAGTTAATCAAGGCGAAAGGAAGATATTTTGACGCAAGCAAAACGAAGACTGTTGACCAAGTCACCCAAATAATGCAAAAATCAAAATAATAATCAAAAATCAACAAACATAACAAAGCAATAGTGGTTCATCTCAACATACGTATTTTTTGTTTAGAATTTTAAAACCTACTGTCACACATACTAGCTGTAGTTGATCTTTCAATAATGCTTATGTTGATGTCTCAAAATCCCTTTCTTTCAGATTCTCAGTGCACATCATGAAGATTAAATTCCAGAACATTTGCTCAAATAAAATTTAAATAAAAAAATTAAGATAGCAAATAATCAAATTTTAATTTTACATATTAATACTTTATCATCGTACCTTCATACCTGATGAAGTACCTTCAAATTTTGTCTATAATAACAAACATCACTTTGCAAAACTGGGCTTTAACAAATTTTTCTGTGAGGGCATCCCAAATGTACCCTTCCTTGACACTTTTTTTTAATCATTTCACTCCCAAGCAAGGCAACAAAGCCACTAACATACAGAGGATTACTGAGTATGGAAGAATATAAGAAAAACATTTTTATGGAATGAGAACAATAAAAAAACAGGAATTAAGAAAACAAATGATAATGATTGACATTACATTGAAATTTTTGAAGATCAAGCTTGGCTTAAAAGTAAGAAACTGAAAGAGAGTTCCACAAGCAAGAAGTGCAAGAAAAAAATTTACGGTTACACCTAGCCATTTCAACTGTAAAATGATTAAATTTTGCTACCAATCTAGTACTGTGCTCAAATTCATAGAGTCTAGGTACCATAGAGGAATGCCCATCAGAACAATGTGTCATTGAATATAATAATTTTTATAAATATTTTAATCATAGATAACAGGCTGATCAATGTCCTGAATTATTATTATTATTATTATTATTATATTTAATATACCTATAAGATGCTGAAATGTTACCTGCTTGAGCCACTTTCCAAAATTTGAGAAAATATTAGGATTTAAAAAAAAAAAAGTCTTCTTGGTTGGCCTTAGATGTTTTCATCACAACCTCCTAGTCACATGTTAAATGCATTATAGAAATGCTGACATCTGCTCCCTTTCAAGATGTGTTTTTTTTTTGTATCTGTTGTGTTATTAGATACATAATGATTAGAGTGAATTAAGGTTGTATTTGTTTAATTAATCTTTCTTTTGATGTCACAGGTTAATGAATTTATGACATGTTATTTTACTCTTAACTCTGGTTCTGTCTTTTCTAAACTAGACCACCTACAAACAGATTGGGTTTCTTTTAAAAGCAGTTCATGATACAAAATAATGAGGTGACAATATTATCAATCTTATTATTAATTACACATTTAACTAAGATTGTAAAAGAAGGTTTATTGTTCCACTTGGCTTCATAGTTTACACATTGCATGAAAATATGAAGTAATAGCTTAAAACATGTGTAATCTTTTTCAAAATAGTAAGTATACTTTTATTATACATATTTATTTCAAAATATGTGATGGCAGCAAATTCGCATTTATCTACTTATTTTCATCAAGTTATGTGACACATATAGCTTCTTCACCTTTCGAGTAATTGTTTATAAAAAATTCTAATATAGTATAGTGAATTGTAAAAATATATTTTCTGTTATGCATATTTAAATTTATTTATGTTGTTATAATGTATCATGAATGTTTAGGATTTTCACATACATAATAGTTGGAATATAATATGCAAGTGTTTGTTTTTATCTGTGGATTGATATAAGAATGAGTATTGAAAGCTCAAGAATTGCGTGTCTAATTTTAAAGAAATTTGGCACTACCCTCAACAGGGATTCAATGTATATTATTCTAAATTGATTGGGGTATTATGCATCATTTTCACTGTGTATCGAAAACAGACAGACATACAAGATTAGAGTTTTATTATTTAATTTTCCTTATATGGAAATATTTGGCATTCATATTAGCCATTACTCTGTAAGGAAATTATACATATACATATATATATATATATATATATATATATATATATATATATATAAGAAGAAGATAGAGACTTTAATTATCCATTTCAATTATAATTTATTTCATGAACACTGAGGTGTTCAACTCTTATGGAGGAGATTTCGATCTGAAGAGCTGAACACCTTGGTGTTCACAAAATAAATCATAATCAAAATGGATAATTAAAGCCTCCATCTTCTTATTATAATGTTCTGTAGTCTACATTGAGCTCTCCCTGGATTTATATCCTCCTCGTAATTATCCCTTCCAGTCACAAACTGGTAAGATGCTATACATATATATAATATAAGAAGTATGTCATTTAGCTGATTGGTGTTACCTTGAGTATTCTGACTCCAGAGTTTTGTACATGGATCTTCCAGCAAACATCCCACCCACTCTTCAGGTTGTATGTATATATATATATATATATAAGGTCAGTATTATTTTGGCAGATAGTCATATTCATGAATGACCATGTGAGGATTGAAATCATTTACTATGACTTTCAGGTGTTCTTAATAAGGTTAATAAAGATATACAATGATTTTTATTTGATAGAAACCATATTTCTTAGCTAAAAATGATGCATGTCTTTTGTGGACAACCACCCACCATAATTCATCATTAAATTTAAGCTGTACATTTTTTACTGGGTGGCCTGCTACCCAAAACAGTATTATATTTGGATAAAAAAAAAAATCCCCAACTCAAACTAGAAAGATGTAGATTTCCATAGATTTAAACAGAACGAACAGAGAATGCCTACGAAGCCCTTTGATGAATTTGATTGGTGGAAACTCAGAAAGGGGTTTGTGGATAGGAGAAATTATATTCTTTGACCCTTGTACTTTCAATGATACCATCACTGGTTGTTTTCGAGGAAAACGCTTTTACAGATAGCCAATGTAGTA